ACCCACCCCCATGCTCACGTGCTTCCCTGTTATGGGCCTAGTTTTCTAATCTCACAGGAGGCGCTGGGTGTGGGACTTTGTGAGATAGAGAAAAGAGGAAGCACAGGAAGATGAGAATTGTGAAGCACATTCTGAAAGCCCAGTTGGCAGCATCTGGGTATTGCCATGGGAACTCTCAATTGATAAGACAGACACCCTCCCTCAAATGGCACTGATAGATTGCTATATTCCTGATCTGGAGGATAATGGAAAAAATGCTAGTTAATGAGTCACAAAAAAAAATTTCATTGGCTTTTAAAAATCATATTTTAGAGCTTCTACTGGCCACGGTTTCAAGGGCTTCAGAAGTCACCCTCATCAGCCTTTTCCTTATCTATAGAACAATAAAGGGCACGTCACCTTGGAATGAAGAAGGGTCATGAGCCCAGGCGCAAGGTGCTTCCCAGATGTGCAGGGAGATTAAATGACTGGTTTAGATTCCATTTCCATCACTAACACTGAAGTAGTATTTCAAGATCCTGTGCGAACTGCAACTCAGTCACCAGCGTACTCCCCCGCCTCTCCCCCATGCCTCCCCTGCTGGCCGTATCCTGTCAGACAGGCTGCCACGTTTCTTCACGCCAAGTCCACTCAGGAGTCCTGAGGTCACAGCTGTGAAGCGGGCAGGCCTGCAGCAGGCAAGCCAGGAGATCCAGCACTACCCAGAGACACGGCCCTGGAAGGGGGACTGCCTGGTTACCTCCCACAGCAGCAGCAGGAGAGGCACAGGATCTAACCGTGTGTCTTGGGGGGGGGGGGTTTGCAGGGGGAGGTGAGAAGTGCTTTAGCAAAAGAAACTAGAAACTAGAGAATATACGTTTCTGACCGAAATGGCCCAGATCTACGCTGCCACGACCAGCCGAGCACTGAGGACCTGGGGTTTATATTTTGTTCTTCTTCAGTTTTAATTAATTTTAATTTAAAAATAGTCATGTGTATCTAGTGGCTGTCATAATGGACAGTGAGGTATCGATCATAGAACACAGAACAAGATTCCATTTCAAATCTTGATCCAGAATGTGCCCAGTGCCCAGTGCCCTTGAGGGTTGAGGACGGTCCTGGAATGTTGTGTCTCAAAAGTTCTTAGGCCTGACCAGACAGTTTGTTTCTTAAACTAAAATCCCACTGACGATGTTGGAGGAGAGTAGGTTCGATCTCAGCCAAACGCTGGGATCTGTGGGACCTGGCAAAGCGTCCTCATGCATGCTTTGACTCACAGCCATCTCTGTGATGGGGAGTGACCGCCCATGGCCACCAGTCACAGAGTCACACAGCTCAGGTGTGCTAAGCACCCAATCCTAGGAAATTCCCTCCTCGGCAGAATGTTCCTGAACCCACTAACTGTTAAGTTTCCTTTGCTGCTCTGAGCTGTGGCATCTCAAAGCATCTTCCATGAGACTCTTTTCCCTCAGGGGAGCGGCCGCTGGGACTGGGCTGGAGGGCCTGCCCAGGTGGTCACTTTGTTCTCTGCAGTAATCGCAACTGGGCTTTAAAACAATCAGATAGTAGCTGAGTTTCTTGAAACTACTGAAAAACTAAATCTCTAACTTTCATGTCAAAGGGCGTTTGCTGGCCTGTCACAGCTACAAGGGCTCCCCTCATGCATCTGCTCCCCTCTCCACAAACCTGGCTTCTTGGTTTCGGAAAAGAGCCCTGTGACCCTGAGCAGTTGGCTTTCCACTTTCTGGGCTTCAGTGTCCCCATTTTAAGAATAAAGGGGCTGAACTAGGCTAGAGGTTGTGGCTTGGGAGATAAGTCCAGAGCTAAGACATTTAAGACAAGCATCAGGACGGCTTGGTAACAGAAATGGCTTCCCCTCCAGGCTCAGAGGGAAGCAGCAGGTGAGAAAGAGCAGGTGCCAAAGACACCCTCGGGCCCACCTCCCATCTCATCCTGTGCCTGCTCTCTGCAGTGTGGGCTGCACTTCATGGGGTCGCAGGCAGATAGCGGAAGGTCCCCACTTCGTACTCAGCAGGACCCCGCCTCACCCTGACGAGGGACCTGACGAGGTCCCTTGCTCATCTCAGTGTCCACCTGCAGCAGGGAAAGGGGTTGTGCTGGGCAATCTCAGCTAACCAGAGCCGCCCTTAAGCTGGGAACAAGTAGTCCCCTTCAAGCACACGGGCATGTGGTGGACACCACAGCGTAGCCAGGGACAGGAGTGGGGATGGACGCGGCATGGCAGGCGGCAAACGCCCACTTGAAGCCGACCTGGATTTTTGGATAATCTGAGGGAAAATTCATGAGCTGTGCCCCACTCTGCTTGCATTCCTGCTGGTCTTGCTGTCCAGTCCCTTCACTGCCCTTATTGTGTGGTGGGCAGCCCGGTGCACCCTAGTGACATGCCCGGCTGGCCGGCATCTGGCTTTGTGCTTGATGACACTCCCCACCCGCGCCCCCTCCTCGCGTACACTTGGGTCAGCACCGTGTACATGGCTGCCAAGAGGGCACACGGGATGTGCAGCTGTGTTGTGCTCATGCCTAGAGACCATGCTGCTTGCCAGACCAGAGGCAGCAGCCCAAAGTGCCTGGGTGCCCAGGTGTGGAGCCTGAGAAGCTTAAGACAGGGCAGTACTACTGACCAGAGCAAGGCCCAGGGCGAGTGGAAGGTTTTGTTTTTTCATTGACTGACTGTGGGGCCTTGAGCAGTGCAGCTCACAGACATGTTCTGAGCACATGCAGAGGCCCTGTGCTCCGGGGGCAGCCCACAGAGGCAGTGGGCTGTGGTTCTGGTTTCCAGATGGACAAGAGGAGACAGGAGCTTTGTCCCCAAGGAGCGGCAGGGGCCAGTGCGTCCAGGGGGAAAATGTGGACCAGTAGGCTGGGGACTGAACCCGGGGAGCCTGGTATGGCACGAGGTGCCTTTTCCAGGAACAGTTGCCCTTCCTCCTGACTGCAGCAGGAGGCAGCGTCAGGGCACACTGTGGCACCCCCAGCCTCGAGGGTGGGGTGGGTTGGGGTGCAGGGAGGGCTCTTGCTCTGGGCTTTCTGCTCCAGGCCTCGCTCTGAGCACTTGCAGTGACAGCCATCCCGGATGTGTTTTATATCATATTAGCCCTTAATCGTCATTTATATGGATGTTACAGCAGAAATGACTTGGGCTGAGACCTGCGGGTTTAGCCCACTGTGCCCTGCAGGAAGAAATCAGGCTGTGACCATTGAAAGTCCACCTGGGACGCTAAGCTGGGCAGGTGCCTCAGGGATGAAAAGTAGACACTTGATTTGGGGGTTGAACGCCCCTGGACACAGGCTGGTGAGACTGCCCCTGGAGCAGTGGCTCACTGAGACCGGCCTGCTGGCCTGGGGCTCCTGGGACAGAAGGGGCCCAGCTGAAGTTGGCCTGGCTCCCCCGGCCCCTTTCTGCCTTAGGTAGATCCGAGAGCCCAAAGGAGCCCTGGTCTGGGCTTCAGCCACAGGCGGGCACGGAGTGCGAGCAGCTCTGCTGGGGCAGAGCTAGAGGGAGCCCCGAGCCCAGGGCAGCCTGGACAGCATTCAGGACGCCAGGGCCTGGGCCGGTGGCCTGTTGGTCAGACAGTGTCACACTGCCCTCTCCTGGGCGGCTCTGAGTAAGCCTGCAAGCTGGGGCCAGTGATTTCTCAACAGCCAGAGCAGATACAAAGCAGATCCTTTTTTTTTTTTTTTTTTTTTAAATCTTTATTTTTTTCACAGTAGCTTTCTCCTCTCAGGTGCGGTCACTAAGGAGAGGGAAAAATCAAGTTATCACACTTCCAGACTTCACATTGTAAAGCCATACTAATTAAAACAGATTCTTAAAGCCTGCAAAGCTTTTTGGAAATAAGAGGGCACTGCCCCCTGGCCCCACGGGGAGATGCTGGTCCCTGGGAGCTGGAGGCCAGGCTCTGTGAAGGCTCCATCTTCTCTCCTCCTTCGGGGAACTTCCCGCAGGCTCTCTGGCTGCCGCCGTCACCCCTCTATGCGTGTCAATCTCCAACAAGGGTTCATTTTTATTGTCTTTTCCTGGTATCCTTTAGGACTAGGTTTCCAAAATGCAAACCATAGTTTTGTACCAAAAAGGCGTGGGGAGGAGCGGCAGCATCTATATCCCCACTGAGGCTGAGCCCTTCTGGCTGCGGGCATCTACTCCGTGGCGCTCTGGTGTTCAGCGCCATCTGCTTTGGAGACAGCCCTGTTCACGGCGCGCACCAGCCAGCGCCACATTCCCTGAGGTGGCCGCGGCATGTCCAGCACATGGAAGGGTCCCTCACTGTATTTTTTTTACACTCCAGGCAGGTTTGGGGCTTTTTTTTTTTTTTTTTACAGCTGTCATGTCATAAATTCTTAAGAAATGGGCTCCAGCTCCTGCCCAGGTGCTTCTCTAGGGGGAGCAGGCTGGCATTTCAGTTGAACCCAAGCACTTTCTCTGCGGCTTCCTTTTCTGCTCATTTTCCTTCACACATTTCACACATGCTGTCTCTGCTCTTCGAATGCTTGATATGCTCAAGCAGACATGGATTCTCCTGGCAAGACTCTGACCCTTTACTCTTTTACAACTGCATGCTGGGTCACCCCACACTCTTCCAGGTTTGCCATGGTAACCATAAAGGGCGTTCCTTTGTGACAGTGCCCTGGATGTCCAGCATCACCTTTCTTGGAGATCCGCATGCATGTGGCCAAAGGAAAAAGCCATGTTTTCTAAAAGGCCTGGAAGACATGCAGCGGGTGCCTGACCGCTTCCCTGTGTGGAGGCAAATTACATAATTTTGGCAAATTACAGAGGATGGTTCTGGCCAAAAGGCTGTCTTTTAGGCTTTCCTGCCCCTATTCTTCCAGCTGAATGTAGGTAACCCAGAGGGTCTCCAATGAATTGCGACTCCAGGGCACTTCTACACATGCCAGGCTTTCAACAGTCCCATGTTTTAGATGTCCTTTCCTTCAGGGCTTATTTAAAATGTCCCAATTTTAGGACCCTTCCTTAAACCTCATCTTTATCTTCCTCACAGAATGAAGCAAATGGGGTCGCAAAGCCTCCTTTCCTCAGGTACGTGGCCCCTTGTCCATAAAGCACTGCCCTGCCAGTTGAGTGACCTGTAGCATTCCCAGGATGTTGTCCCTTCGTGCTCAGCCCAGGATACCCATCCTGAGAAAGATCTTGGGCCTGTGGGGTCAGGAAAATGTGGCCACCTTGTTGCCATCACCTCCAGGGAGAAAGGCCTAGAGGGCCAGCCCAGAATCCAACAGGACCCCAAGGTGGGTCTCCTGGTCAGCTGCTGCCTTTGACAACTTAATCCAGACCCTGGGCTCTCCCCTAAAACCCCCTCCTAATAAGAGTTAAAGAGAGGTGGGCTTCCTGTGTCAAAAACATTTAAAACTTTGGATCCTGCTTTCATGGGCGGCTTGGGGAGAAGTGCCAGAACAAAAAACCCGCTTTCAGAAAATGCCATCCACAACTTACAAGCAGTGGAAGGTGGTCAGAAATTTTACAGAGCAAGAACAATAGTTATTAGCAGTTGTAAAACCTCATTCCTACTTTGTAGTATTTCTGCACATTTTATCCCCTCTCACAGTGGAGAAAACCCCTTCGCTACTGTGAAACTCCGGCCAACGGTGACAAACGATCGATCGGCACCGATCATTCGATGAGGCGGCGGCGGTGGAATTCTTCTGGCTCCTCTAATGTTAAGTTCTCACTTGCAAAATGATAGGTATATATTGTTATGTGCTCTAACTGCTGTAAAGCTTCACCAGCGGGTGCCTGATTTTAAATGTATTCTATTTGAGCAAATCAATGCATTTTCTCAATTCGATGTAGCTGGATATATGCATTTGTCTGGAAAAAGATAGTTTAGAATCTACTCAATCATTTAAAATCTTTTCTTCCCAGGCTGTTCAAAAAACAGTAAATTTTGCTCCAGTCCTCGCTGTATCATTTTTTTAAATATTCTGATTATTTTTTTTAATAGCCAGGATAAGGGCTAGCCCATGCTTTCAGGCTGGCTTTCTGCACCTGGCCAGTTTTCCAAAGCATGTGCTCATAAGTAGCATTATGTTTCTCTAAAGAAAATAGTGTAAATTTGCATCTGAGCATGCAGGTCATAATTTTAAGCAATATAAATTATAAGAGTATTGTATGAAATTTAACTTAAAATTTTTTAAATCCGTTTAATCAGATGTAGAGCTACCCCAGATGGGAAAAATCGCAACTTTTCTGCAACCTAGACATAGCTGTAGAGTGGTAAGACATTTTGCCTATTCCTGTTACCACCATGAAATTTAGTACTTGAATAATTCCTGAGAGCTACTGAACGTGGCAGTTATGAGTTACCAAATAGGCTGAGAAGATCCCGGGACATGCCCACGTGGGCGGGCTCACAGGGCCGCCCCCTTGGACCCGAGGCACTCACGTGTGG